ACGTCACGTTCGGAAACAGCACTCGTGTACACACAAGCATCATTCTATCTTTGTTTTATATATAATGAGTAATAAAGATAAAATATACACTAGTGATGTTTCCGAACGCAGCTCTACGCAGGAGTAGTGTGTAAAGGGCACTCTCCTGAAACGCACCTTAAAACTAAAGGTTTGTACACAACGTTTATCGCACCGAGGTAGACGTTATAACGCAGCGAGAGGTACAAAGTTTAAGCTTCGTTAACCTCGCAACAAAAACTACCAGTCAAATAAAAACTAAAATTAACAAAACACAAAATCTACTGGAGTCACATCTGGTGAAACTTAAAATTAAAGAGTTATGTTAGTGATTATTCGTATACGACTCCCTACAAAAGGAGTGGCTACCCGACAAAAGACAAAAGAGAGTAAAATAAATTAACACTGCTGAAACCCGCTGTAGCAAGAGTCAGGTGATCAGAAAGTAAACGAAGTAGTGTATCTTACACTGGTCTAGTTTCCACCGAAACCCTCAATTCGGTTTCACTCCGGTACGGATTAAATTTAGTGTTCCGTTTCCATTGGAAGTAGAGTACTTACAGATCGAAGCAGAAGCAAAATCAGCGCAATTTGACAGGTTTCCATCGACTTAAATTTGATTCTTCGTCGCATTAGGTGTGAATTAATGCTTTGGTGGAAACTAGACCACTGATAAAACTAAGTAAAAGCTGACTCTTACCCTAACGGACGGCTACTAATGAAAGTTACCGTTCAATACAGCTGTCTAAACAGACACTCATGGACGTAAACACAACAATTACACTGAGTTCATATCGTCTTAAACTAGCTTTTAAATATAAATAGGTAGAGAGCATATGAACCTGCAAACTATTACCGTCACCTCATTATCCAGGCAGGATAACAGGAATTCGACTGGGTGAGGGAGGTGTCCGACTACGCGGACCAGGGCAGACCGTAACAGCTTCCTTTGGTTATCATATTCTAGGCACTCCCAGAAAACATGGTTTGGTGTTCCTTCAAAACCGCACGTTTGACAGAAGGGGGAGTCCACGATTCTGAATCTGAAGAGGCTCGCGCGCAAGGAAGTGTGCCCGCTGCGGAGGCGATTGAGGGAGGTCACCGCCCTGCGGCTTAGGTTCAACTGCTCAAACCAAGGTCTTCGGGCATAGGTCAAAAACTGACCGCAATAATAGCTACCCCTAGTTCTGGATTCTTCTCGACACCATTCCAACAACTCTGATCTTGCCTTTGCTTTCCAGAAATTCTTACCTTTACCCAAGGGGACGCCCACCTGGGAGTTACTTCCGCACACCACCGCGTCCCTAGCAAGGGCATCCGCCCGTTCATTGCCCGCCACTCCGCTGTGACCAGGAATCCACACCAACTTTACTCGCACCCCCCGTTCAGTTAACCCCAGGACCAAAGACTTGATCCGGAGCACGAGGTACGAGCTTTTGCCCGGAACGAACTTAGCCTGTACCGCTGAGAGAACTGACCTTGAGTCTGAGAAAATTGCGACCGACCGCCACCCCGCCTTCGTGCCAGCTCCAAAGCCTCGACAATGGCCATGGCTTTCACGCAAAATGAGGAGACGAAACCCACCGACTTGTAACGACGCACATAACGTCCATCCTGAGAGACCAGCGCATACCCCGAACACGGAGCCCCCTCCGACCTCGAGGCGTCCGTGAAAATGCACACTGAATTCTGTAACTCTTCACCAAAAGCTTCTCTGAACTTTGCCTCTGCGTTAATCCCCTCTCGTACAGAAAACCCGGCGAAGAGATCGACCGGTAAACTTGACACCAATGGTTTAAAGCCGAAAGCAAACCATATCGGAACATCTGACGAAAACAAGGGGCGGGTCCACCGGTCTACCTCGTCAAAGGCTTTCACGAGAGGGAAAGAAACCACCCGGTTAGCACCAGGGAGACCCGAACTAGATGATCGAATACTGCTTAACAAGCCCCACAATGGGTGGGCCGTCATAGTGGCCGTTCGTGACAAGAAGTTTCGGCACAAGAAGCGGAAGCGTACGAAGAGAGGGGGCTCCCGAGCCTCTCCCAAAATCACATTTAAGGGGGTTGACGTCCTATAACTCAAAACAATCATCAAAGCGCGCATCTGTAGCTTATCTAGCTTGGAACTCAGCCTACGAGAGAGACCCTGAAGAAGGAAACCTCCATACTCCAGCCTGGATCGGATCAAAGCCCTATACAAACTCAACAATAAACGTGGGTCTCCGCCCCACCACGTGCGCCCGAGGCATTTAAACGTGCGCAAGGAATTAGCACACCGCTTTTCCAGACCTAACACATGATGTGTCCAGCCTAAGTCCGACTGAAAAGTCATTCCGAACAACCTTACTCTGGGTGACGAGACCACTCTAACCCCCTGCACCGTAACCCACGGAGTTCGACGCCTATACGATAGTCTGCCGCCCGTGTAAACGGGTTCCATCAACTTTCTGTCCCTCCAGCTGAAAACACACAGCTGGGTCTTCGCAGCTGAAAGATCTAAGCCAAGTGGGTCCAGAGCCCCAATAGCATTCTCAACCGACTTTTCGAGAACCGCCAGGCCTTCACTTACCTCCGATGTAGATGT